ACACACACACACACACACACACACACACACACACACTCACTCACACATTCTCTCTCTTACTTCTGAGTCAGCCAGGTGCCTGATCTCTCCACACCCCTAGAAGTGGCCCTCCAGAGCAGTGATCTTCCCTCCAACTAAGCAATTTTTTTTTAAGGTGGGGAAACATGTATAGATTGAGATCATGTAAATAAAATGCTTAGCCCTAATAAAAGGTGGGGTTTTTTTTCCTATTATTCACTAATTTAAAAGATGCTATTGATTGGGGCTGGGGATGTGGCTCTAGCGGTAGCGCGCTCGCCTGGCATGCGTGAGGCTCGGGTTCGATCCTCAGCACCACATACCAACAAAGATGTTGTGTCCGCTGAGAACTAAAAAATAAATATTAAAAAAAATTTTTTTAAAAAAAAAAGATGCTATTGAGGAAAATGTAATAATATGGAAAACTTTCACAATATATGATTTGTTTTTTCCCTGGTACTGGGAATTGAACCCCAAAGCACTTAACCATGAAGCCACATCCCAGCCCTTTCTATTTTTATTTTGAAACACCATCTTACTAAGTTACTTAGGGCCTCACTAAATTGCCAAGGCTGGCCTCAAACTTGCAGTCCTCCTGCCCTCGGTATCAGGAGTCACTGGGATTTCAGGAATGTACCACTATGCCTGGTTTTATTTTTTATTTTGATACAGCATCTTGTTAAGTTGAAGGTGCTGGACTCAAATGTGTGATCCTCCTGCCTTGGCCTCACAAGTTGCTAGGAGTACAGGCAAGCACCAGCAAGCCTGGCCACTGATCATAAAAATAATAGTTTAAGAACGGAAGGTGTATGTAGCTCAGTGGTAGAGTGTGTGCTTAGCATATTTGATTTGAGACACTGGGTTGGATTCCTCAGCATGGGGGCAAAGAACAAAGTTAGCTGTGGCCATATCTAGAAGGTAGGATTCTAAGTTGGTCTAATTGTTTGGTTTTGGGCTATATATTATCTACCAGGTTGCTATTGTTAAAATGGAAAATTAACTAATAGTTTATTTTAAGACAGATGTGAGGGCTGGGGATGGAGCTTGGTGGTAGAGCACTTACTGGCCTACCATGCACAGGGGTCCTGGTTTCAGTACTGCAAAGAGGGGAAGGGAAAAAGGGGGAGAGAGAGGAGGAAAGAAGGAGAGGGTATGGAGGGAAGAAGGGGGAGAGAGAAGGGTAACTTTGAGCCTAGTTTTGAAGAGTGAGTAATTTTGACCAGGCTGAGAGGAATTAGGCCAGCATCCTGAGCCAAACACTGGTGCACACCTGCAACCCCAGCTACTCAGGAGGTGAGGCAGAAGGATTCCAAGTTCAAGGCCAGCCTGGGCAACTTAGTGAGACCCTGTCTCTAAATAAATTTTATTTTTAAAAAGGACTGGGAAAGTAGCTTAGTGGTAGAACAACCCTGGGTTCAATCCAAAAAAAAAAGAAGAAGAAACTGGGGGCTTAATTTGTTTGTCCCTGTGGAGGTACCTTCCCTTCCCCCCCCCC